CTCTCTCTCTCTCTCTCTCTCTCTCTCTCTCTCTCTCTCTCGCGCGCGAACGATAAGTCAAGTTATGATCGTGAATGCACGTGGAATGATATTAGATTGCGCGCGTCGGGACAGATGGCGACTCGGATATGAGTGGAGAAGAGCACGCTCGTCTTCCCCTGCCATCATTACTGCGATGATTTACGCGCGACTGCGCTCGCTATGCGAATGCTGCGAGAACGTTGCCGGGGCAGGTGGGTTCTAGCGGGTGAAGCTCAGAGGGATTCATCGTGCAGCATCGCTCGTGCTCGGCCTTCTCCTTCTCCTTCTCATCCTCCTCCTCCTCCTCCTCCTCCTCCTCCTCCTCCTCCTCCGCTCGGAGGACGGGTGAGCTTCCCTCGCGAGTGGTGGTGCGGCCGCGCGGAACTCCTCGGAGTTCTTGCGAGTGACTCCCGTTTGACGGCGTTCTTCTACGGCTTTGGGTCGTGAGCTGAAGGCCACGTCCGAGGCGAGGCTCGTGTGTGCCGGTAGTCGGCACTTAATCTCGCAATCATCTCTCGTTTTCTCAATGTTCGTCCGCCGATATCAGGTCGTTTTTCGAGCCGTACACTTTCGTTCGCGTACTCTCGCCATGTTGTCTGTATTTACGGATGTAATACAGTATAATAATCAAGAGCTAATAATACCTATAAATATAAGGTATTATTAGCTCTTGTAATAATGTATAAGACGAAAAAGAGAAGTTGCTGTCAGTGCTGTCTATTTCCCGACATGTGTGTTTTGACGTTTGTTTAATTTGTTTTTTGACGTTGCGCGATCTGTATTCATGTGTGCCTCGTCTTGTTCTCTCGCAGCAGTCGTGTTCGTCGTGATTGAAATAAGCGCGTCGCGCAACACTCGGACAAGTGAACATTGCTGATCTGCCGCTGCGATGACGTCATCGGCAGACGACACGCTCGTCATCGGATCCGACTCGTTCTGGGAGGTCGGTCAGTACCGGCGGACGGTCAAGAGAGTGGACGACGGTTACGCGTTGTCCAAGGAGTTGATTCAGATGATCAAGGACAGGTGTGACATTGAGACGAAGTACGCGCACATGCTGAAGAAGCACTCCGAGGAATGGCGCAAGAAACTGGACAGCGGTTAGTCGTCGTTCTGTTGCTGTTGTTGTTGTTGTTGTTGTTGTTGTTGTTGTTTTTGTTGTTGTTGTTGTTTTTGTTGTTGTTGTTGTTGTTGTTGTTGTTTTTGTTTTTGTTTCTGGTATTTTGGTTGTTGTTGGTGGTGGTGGTGTTATTGTTGTTACTGCTACTGTTGTTGTTGTTGTTGTTGTTTTTGTTTTTGCTATCGTGTTGTGTGAATGTAGTGAAAGCATTGGCAGAGTGTCACAGTGCAGTGAAGTGCTGATTATTAGCTCTATTGCTTGTCGAACGTGTGTTCAGTGATCGAGAAGCTACGTAGTATATAATTTACAGCTTGGTGTATGGATTTAGCTGTGATCATTAGCAGCACCTCGGTAGTTAGGTCAGCAGCATATATAGTGCGGTAACGCTTCGATCGGGTTCACGCCACTCGGTCTGTTTCTCCTTTCGGCCGGTTGCTCTATCTGACCCACTCACGCTCTGCGGTGACGGATACATGCTCAGCTGCTCACTGGTCTCTCGCGGGTTCTCTCGAGCTCTCGTTAACTCTCGTTCGGTCCTGCGCCGTGTCGCGCGACATCGCTAAGCTGTGTATAGTGCGGTGGTCCAGATCATATAATCTTGGTCTACACGAGGATTTTTATCCCAGGATAAGCCTAACACGAGGGTCTATCTAGGGTTAAGATAACCCGGATTAGCTTAAGCTCACGATGGGTATATGGGGGTTAAGCTAACCCGAGTTAAGATCTGTCTCGGGATAGCGTCGTATAGACGGTGTTATATATATATGTATGTATATATATATTATATCACATACCCAGCCATGTCACATCTTGGGCTGTACGAGGAAAATGCAGATTTAGTGAGGTTCATTGCCCCAGTCTTATAGCGATGAATTTCATATTTGCGCTGCTGCTGCTGCTGCTGCTGCCCCCCACTGCTGTAGTTATTTTTGTAATTAAATGTTCTTTCTAATTAAATTCTTCTAATTAAATTTTGTTGTGATAGATGTAGCTATTACTCTCGCTACGTACGCGGCTCACCGCCGCACACAGACAGGCACGCATACGTAGGCAGCTGAGGGCGGGCGGCAGACGCCAGGCGGGCTGTCTGCCGTTAGCAGTCCGTTTACCCTCAGCGTTCCCGCCTTTCAGACGTAACGGTCGCTGCGGTGGCGACAGTATATGGGGGTGGTTGGGGGGGGGGACAAGAGTGCTATTCTGTCTGCAACGAACACAGCTAGTCAGTGGCAGGCTTGACTGCGTTTTATAAACGTGTACCTGTGCGACAGAGCGCGACTGGGGGGAGGGGGAGGTGCGAGGTAACACGCACGCCTCCGCCAGTTATTGCTTCGCGGGGCTAGAGAGGTCCCGACCGTCAGCTACTGTGGTGCCACCTGACGGAGTGCAGCGAAAATGTTAGCGTATGTCGGCGAGATAACGAAGCGTTGGAGTTTTTTCTGTTTTGTTTTAATCTTGGCCGGATTTTAATCAAAACGATTCCGAGCTTTCTAAGCTTCTTGGATTTCTCACAGGCTGTTCTCGTTACGTGGAATCCGCCAGGTGAACGCGCGATCACACGGCGATGCGATTGTATTTGTGCGCGACGGGTTGGGTGGAAGAACATAATAGGGTTACAAAACGTTTTCATCCCGTTGGCCCTTTCATCTCGTCGTGCGCACCGACAACTAACCCTTAGAAGTAGGTTTGTCGTAGCGTCGAACTCCTTTCCAGTGTCCTCACTTCGGGTGATGATTGTGAGCGACGTGTGCACGCACGTGCATATCAGCCAACACCCCCCCACCCCCACCCCACACCCCACACCCCACACCCGAATAATAGCAAAACCTCGATGGAAAATTCGTAGCTGCTTCGTCGTGCGATCTCGTTATGTCGTTTACCAGCGTTACCATTCAAGCGATTTCACCGCTTCACAGATTCCTCCAAATTCCTCAGGAGGGGGGGACCCAGCGCGTTTTGCCTGCACCCGCCGCCAGTCTCTCATCCCCACGCCTCGCCGTCCTCTGTATCGATATCCTTCTCGGTCTCGGGGGGGGGGGATAATTCGATGTGCGAGTGAGCGAGCGTGATTTGAGCGACGCCGTGTCGTGCACTGCTGCTCACGCGTGTCAAGCTTTGTCATGCTATAGTGTGGCTTCCCACACAACGCCACAGGGAAGAGTCGCGCTGCCTCTACGCGTCTGTGTACGTGTCTGTGTCTGTGTGTACGCGCAGCGTAGGTTCTGTGTATGATGGCTACGTTGGCTCGTGTCTGCGTGGATCGGGATGTTTCGCATCTCCCCTGTCTCTCTCTCTCTCTCTCTCTCTCTCTCTCTCTCTCTCTCTCTCTCTCTCTCTCTCTCTCTCTCTCTATGCTGCTGCTGCTGCTGCTGCTGCTGTTGCTGGTGTTACTGCTGCTGCTGCTGCTGCGGTTGGGGTAATGAGCTAATAGGTTTTTTTCTCTCTGCCTCCAAGCTCTACTCCAACTCCCCGGCTACACCCCGCCTCTAATCTCTCGAAGAAATTCCCCTCCGCAGAATTGCTATACCGCTCCCTGACGTCTCTCGTTCGTGGCTACATGACGTCTCCTGATATCCCGACACTGCACCAGTGTCATGTTGCACAAATCTCCAACATTCTCTACGGCTTTCATCCGATGGATCCGATCATCCCAGGCGCTCCCCTACATCTGCGCAAATGTTCTCTCCGTGCTTAAATCCATTGCCTTCCCACTGTCGATAGATCCCTGCCGTTTCCTCCACCTTCTCCGCGGGCTCACCTACCAGCCACGTCCACCATCCCGCCTCCCCGCCGCGCTCTACCAACTTCTAACGTCCGATGAAAAACCATGGCTTGCAATCATCTAATCCCCTCCGTTCACATGCCGCGCACGTTTTTTTTTTCTCGCCATACCGTGTTTTATCCGGCTTCCGCTCGCGCAGAATCAAACTTAATTGAAATCCGTCTTCAGCAAAGATGGCGGCGGCGGCGGCGGCGACTTTTTCCTACGAATAACGGAGAGATAGCGCGTGCGCGGGGTATGGGGGATGGATGGCGGGAGGGATGGGCGGGGTGTGAAGCCAGGCAGACGAGGTCTGCAACATATATATCAGGAGTAGATAATAGGGATTCCCTACTATCTACTCCTGATATATATGACTATTGGCGCCCTTAAACACGATGTCCGTCCGGCCGGTCTTCCGCTCGTCTGCCACGTTTATCGTATTTCTGTCGTATTCGCCTCAGCGGCGGCGACAGAGGGAAGGCAGAGAGAAGGGAGTGGGGAGAGCGCGAGATAACCGGCTAGATAGGGGTAGAGAGGTGGGAGGGGAATGATGAGAGAGAGGGGAGAGACAGGGGGATGGAATAATGAATAAGAGTGGGGAGAGAAAGAGAGAGCAAGATAGAAAGAGAGTGCGAGAAAGCGAGCGCGCGAGAGAGAGAGTAAGATAGATTTAGAGGGAGAGAGAGAGAGAGAGTAAGATAGATTTAGAGGGAGAGAGAGAGAGAGAGAGGAAGAGTAAGGTAGATTTAGAGAGAGAGCGAGGACGGAGAGAGAGAGAGAAGATACAGAGTAGAGAGAGATGCGAGAGAGGAGAGAGAGAGAGAGAGGAGCGAGAGGAGAAGAGAGAGAGAGAGAGAGAGAGAGAGAGAGAGAGAGAGAGAGATGAGAGAGAGAGAGATAGAAAGAGAAGAGAGAGAGAGAGAGAGTGAAGCGAGCAGCTAGCGTGCGAGCCTGTGTTTAAGCTTCATTGTGCTGAGCGTGCAGTATGGGGCAGGATTCGAGCATCGCCCCGCGGCGGAAAGTGACGATTGTTTCTCGTTAGCGACAAATCTCCGAACAGCACTAATGAATCAGCCGCCATGAAATTCATAACGGCTTGCCGCAGCTATAGAGCATTATCGGCCGTGAGCGGGTTTTGTGGCACGGTGAAGCGGTTTTGCGCAGGCCGGAGGAGGAGAAGGGAGAGGAGAAAGAAGGAGGAGGAGGGAGTGTGGCGGACGTCACTCCCGCATGAGTCGTTTTATGTGCGTGCGTCTGTTAATTTTAACGCGTCTCGTCTCTTAAAATCTTCGTTCCGCCGGCCACTGCTGCGATTACGTGCGTGCGTGCGTGTGCGTTTGTTTCTGTCTGCGGTGTTTACATCCGTTCGTGTGCGGTCCGTCAGTGCGGTGTGGCGCGCGTGCTTGCGTGCGTGCGTGCTGGCGTGCGTTTTAAGGAGACTGCGTTGGATTGACACGTGATCACTGCGAACTGCCTGCCATCGATCGACCGGGGACCTCATACATTTGCAGCCGCTTTAATATCATTGAGTTTCATTGACTTGTAAAGTGAGGCATTCTTTTTATGCTGTAAGTGAATATTAAGAGTGGTTTGAGCGCGCTGGGCTGCTCTCGTGTCTAAATGTTAGGGAAGGGAGTGGTAATGCCAAAATTGAGGGAGTTAAAACGAGAGAGAGGGATGGAGATAGAGGAGTGAAAGAAGAGAGAGGGACGGAGAGCGTAGAGAGTGAGAGAGCAGGACACGCACACGCACACGCCGACGACGCACGCACGCGTGGCCGCACACACAACCACACACACACACAGCACACACACACACACACACACACACACACACACACACACCACAGAGAAGAGGAGTGATATCGTGAGGGGTGAGCATGCGGAAGATTGAGAAAGGTTTTCTCTTGTACCTGGAAGGGCGACCTGTGGTTGGTTTTGGCCGATATTATCGTTTACCATGCACGGTGCGCGCCGTGTGTGGCTGCGCCCGCGCTGTTGCTGTTGTGTTGGTTGTTGGTGTTGCTGTTACTGCTGCTTGTTGTTGTTGTCTGCGCTTGTTGCTTCTGCTTGTTGTTGCTGTGTGTGTGCTGTGTTGATGCGGTTGTGTTGCTCGCTGTTGCTGCTGTGCTGTTGTTGTTGTTTTGCCAAAGCCGCTGTCGTTGCTGCTGCTGCTGATGATGTTATTGCTGGCTTCATACACGCTGCAGAAGATTAATT